AGCATGTTTCTAAAGGAATCAAAGGAGTTGTAGCATGTTTCTAAAGGAATCAAAGGAGTTGTAGCATGTTTCTAAAGGAATCAAAGGAGTTGTAGCATGTTTCTAAAGGAATCAAAGGAACTGTAGCATGTTTCTAAAGGAAACAAAGGAACTGTAGCATATTTCTAAAGGAAACAAAAAACTGTAGCATGTTTCTAAAGGAAACAAAGAAGCTGTAGCATATTTCTAAAGGAAACAAAGAAGCTATAGTATGTTTCTAAAGGAAACAAAGGAACTGTAGCATGTTTCTAAATGAAACAAAGGAACTGTAGCATGTTTCTAAAGGAAACTAAGAAACTGTAGCATGTTTCTAAAGGAAACAAAGAAACTGTAGCATGTTTCTACAGGAAACAAAGAAATTGTAGCATGTTTCTAAAGGAATCAAAGGAGCTGTATCGTATTTCTAAAGAAACTGTGAAATGTGTCTGAAGGAAGTAAGGGAACAAAAAATTTTCTTTAATGGTAAAAATATGAAAAATGGAAATATACTCACAGGATAAGAAGTTTTGTCTGATTAATGAAAGCAAGATCAGGAACTGTTTCAATTTTATTATCAGCCAGGCTCCTGAAGAGAAATATATGTAGTTAAATCTAAAAAAATGTACCTACAATAAAATTAAAAGAAACATCCATAGCTGTTGCCCTTTTCAAAGATTTAAGTTAAAACCCCACAGTAAACAGCCCAGTAATTAATTAACTTAAAAATTAGGTGCAATAGAATAAACCCCACAGTAAACAGCCCAGTAATTAATTCACTCAAAAATTAGGTGCAATAGAATAAACCCCACAGTAAACAGCCCAGTAATTAATTTACTCAAAAATTAGGTGTAATAGAACAAACCCCACAGTAAACAGCCCAGTAATTAATTTACTCAAAAATTAGGTGTAATAGAACAAACCCCACAGTAAACAGCCCAGTAATTAATTAACTTAAAAATTAGGTGCAATAGAATAAACCCCACAGTAAACAGTCCAGGAATTAATCTACTCAAAAACTAGGTAGGTACAGCAATTAATTAACTTAAAAACTAGATAGGTACAGTAATTAATTTATTCAAAAACTAGGTGGGTACAATAATTAATTTACTCAAGAACTAGGTAGGTACAGTAATTAATTAACTTAAAAACTAGGTGGGTACAGTAATTAATTTACTTAAAAACTAGATAGGTACAGTAATTAATTTATTCAAAAACTAGGTGGGTACAATAATTAATTTACTCAAAAACTAGGTGGGTACAGTAATTAATTTACTCAAAAACTAGGTGGGTACAGTAATTAATTTACTCAAAAACTAGGTGGGTACAGTAATTAATTTACTCAAAAACTAGGTACAGTAATTAATTTCTTCCAATTGGCAAAACGTATATTTACAGTAATATTGTTAACAAGTTAAATATTTCCACACATTTCAGTTTATTTTTGTCAATTTCAGTAATGAAGGCAAGAGATAAGTTTTTTCTGTTTCTTGAAAGTGTTTTGAGCAAATATGGCGTTAGGATATTTTCAATTTATTGTTCACACGATAATATAAACAATAACATATACATAGTACATTATAAATGAACAGCTTTGAACAACTTATAGAAGAAACTCACAAACATTGAAGCTGTACCAACTCGGACAAAGCTGCTACTGGAACTTCCGTCAGGTGATTTCCGTTCAACCATAACCTTTGTAACTTCCGCACACCTCCAAGACTTCCTTTCGGAACCTGGCTGATTTGATTTGAATTAAGATTGCTGGAAAAGTTAAGATTTGCCTCAATAAGTTAACACCTCAATATTTCTTCCCTTGAAATTTCTAGATGATAATCACTAATTGGATAAGATAGGCCTAATAACAATTTATTGCTGAAAAAAGGTAAACACTTTTTTAAGCTGCGACTTAGGAAAACTAAACGATCTAAATGTATTCAACAAAGTCCATTAAAATTAAATTATTTGTGTTCGATAATAGCTGTCCCTAATTTTGAACTCGTATAGACTAGAGGGAAGTCAACTAGACGATAGCACCCACCACTAACTATTTGGGTCCTTTTGTTAGCCCAAAAAGTGGGATATGATCGTCACTCTTATAACACAATCACGGCGGAGCGAAACTTTTATTTTATTATTATTTTGTTTTGGAGAAGGCACATGAACCAAGGACCTACTGAATCATAACCCATCACGCTAACATCTAGGCCATATTAAAACTAACCAGAACAAAATTAGTTCTTTTTCTTAGTTTGAAAATTTGGTGAAAGTCTCTTTATTCAACAGTCTCCAGTGCAGTAAACTAATTTATGCATTTAGCTCCACCTGGTGGTATCTATACTTGTTTGTTGCGTTATTGATTGTTGATCTGTTAGTTCATGAGAACAAAACATAAACAACAAAGATGAGCCCAAGATTGTCATCTTGATAAAAAAAACAGTCTCCAGTTTTAAAAACATGGTAAAGAAACTAATTAAGCAGTCTTTATGTGACACGTTTTTTATCCACGATCGAATAACATCAGTTACCAGATTTTGGTGTCTAATAACGTATTGTATTTTTGAGTTGTAAACTTACCCAGGTGTTTCACAAAATGTGACTTCAATGATAAGCTAGGATAATTTGAATAACATCATATATTCATTACAAGTTTATAACATGAAAAATAAGCTGAGATAATTTTAATAACGTCATAGGTTTAGTAACAGGTTTAGAACATGAAAAATAGGTTAGGATAATTTCAATAACGTTATAGGTTTAGTTATAGGTTTATAACATGAAAAATAGGTTAGGATAATTTTAATAACGTTATAGGTTTAGTTATAGGTTTATAACATGATAAATAGGTTAGGATAATTTTAATAACGTTACAGGTTTAGTTAAAAACTAGGTTTATAAGCATGATAAATAGGTTATGATAATTTTAATAACGTTATAGGTTTAGTTATAGGTTTATAACATGAAAAATAAGCTGGGATAATTTTAATAACGTCATAGGTTTAGTTACAGGTTTATAAAAACATGAAAGTAAGCTGAGATAAGTTTAATAAGACCATAACTTGACTTACAGCGTTTCTAACGCTGGGACCGAGAGCAAGGCCTCTGATGGTACATTATCCAATTTACCGTCTTGTAAAGACCTAAGAATCAAATATTGATTACATTAAAGTTAATGTAATATACGTAAGAAAATGTTAGAGCCGAAACGAATGTTCGCCATAGATAGATGAAACTCAATTTTCAGTTAAAACAACATTAACTTTGAAGACCGACAATAATGTATTGAAAGAGGCAACTTCCTTAAGAATTTAATACACATAGTTTAGAAACACTTAATGAGACAGTAAAGATGACACTATATATTATTTTAAGTTTGCGTTTAATATATAAATTTAAACGTTACGAGAAAATATGAAACTCTTCAGGTATTACAGAGGACTGAAAGCTATATGGATATCAACTTTATTGGCTATGATATACTGTAACATATAAAAGATATTTAATCTTAGATTTATACTGGTTAATTCTGGGTAATATTAACATGCTTATTACAGTTTTATAGTTTCGCGGCGTTCTTGAGTGTAATCAGTATAAAACGTCATATTCAGAGCATGGGAACGGTACTTATTCCAGACTTTAGCATTAAACTAAACACGATTAAATGGGGAACTAAAAAGGCTCCTTAAGTGCTTCGGTACATTCTACGCTGCTAGATGACCGAAGTTAATGTGCCGCGAAATGAAGGAACGAGAAAACCTATTAATTAAAAGAAAAGCGGTAAGTCAACAGAACTACCGTCATTTCTAAACCCTCACCTCGCAATCTGGAATGTTTAATTAGGAGCTGACGCCAATTCTGGATGATGTCACGAGAAATTTATTTGTTAGTTGAAAAGGAAGAGAATTTAGTGTAAAAAAGAGGGATAAAATATGAACAATTAAAATAGGGATGATGGAGAGAACCGAAAGGAATTGGGACGAAAGTCTGGTTGCTAATGTCTTTAAGCTCGTGCGGAGAGACTGTCTTAAATATTATCTACATATTTTATATGTTGACGGAATCCTAGGAAACTAATAATGGTCAGTGTTGTTTTAACGAAAGTATTTGGGACACACACACACACACACACACACACACACACATGATGGAAAAGATGGAATCTTGTAGCGACAACAGTACCCACAGGAGGATATTGACAATCATTCTAAACACAACTGTGACACTAGAAGATAAAGTACCGCGAACCTGAATCAATATTAAGAGTGGTCTGGGGAATCATAAATCCCCCAATTTTCTCGGGGGCTGTAGCGTACTGGTCAAAGTAGCCATCGCTAGAGTAGAGAGAGAGAGAATCGGTAATAATATAGTCCGTCACAGCATATATTAAAAAAAACTTGTCGAACAATCGGCTTTCTTCCAGGAATATGATGGGCAAAAGTATACGGAAAAAATTTAATATTGTTTTCAAAGTATAATCTGATATGAAATATAGATACGAACTATTAAAAAATATTACATGACTCGACGAAAGTAATATATGATTGTATAAGAAATAAGATAAAAATTGACTTAACAAACAAAAAAAAAACCTGATACGCTGTTGGTTTACCGCAAAGCTACTCAATGGGCAAGGCACGCTCTGTCCACCGTGGGAATCGAACCCCGGATTTAGCGTTGTAAGTCCGTAAACTTTTTGCTGACCCACCGATATGCAAAACGTAAAATGGACAAGAAAATCTTAAATAAAAAATGTACACTCCTGGATTTTTATTAAGGGATGTTTAAAGTGTTCTTTTCACAGAATTTATTTGTCTTAATCGAACACACTAGTCTAACAATGGTGAAATTATACATTGTTGTAAGCATTCTATGATTGAACTAGTGAAATTAAGCATTTTTTTATACATTAAATACTTATTATATGTGGAATTATAGACGGACTTTACCGGAGCCTTCATCGGGCAACATTGTACAATGTTGCCCGATGAAGGCTCCGGTAAGAGGGCCGAAAGCTCGCAAATAAAAGAAAAGTATTTAAACGTAGAGAAAAGTCTGTGTATAATTCTATATATGAATTTATGAAAACTTTTTTTAAATATGTAAATCAACTGTAACACCATTACAGAAAACAGCAGTTTTAACTTTACCTGTAAATAATATTATAATACTTACAATATCTTCAGCTGCAACAGTCCGTTGAAAACATTTGGTGAAAGGTAAGTTAAGCTGTTACTTCCCAAATCTCTGAAAATAATAGTGACGGATCAAGCTTCCCACATTCCCTTAGTGACAAGATTCATGTAACACTTATTCTACTGGCTATAGATTACAGTAAAACTTATCCTACTGGCTATAGATTACAGTAAAATATTCTATATTAGATATAGTTTACAGTAAAACTATATCCTACTGGCTATAGTTTACAGTAAAACTTATTCTACTGGCTATAGATTACAGTAAAACTTATCCTACTGGCTATAGATTACAGTAAAATATTCTATA